AAACGCCCGGTGCGCACGGAACTCCTACATAACATCGACCCCATATGGAATATGTCGGCCATTCGGTACTACGACTACAAACTGGTTAAGAGCACCGGACCCGTCAACTCGTCGGGTATAGCATGGCGTGACTCATATGATTACGTGGACTCCACGGACATCCGACTGACTCCCGAGGGCTACAAATCACTGCAAACCGCAGACCGCATGCATAGCTCCGTGTATAAGGTTTTGTCGCAAATGAATCGACGACCCGATTATAGGGTACTACAGGTAGGGACTAAAGTTGGTGTAAATGTAGTTTAATGTTAATAAAATATTTAGGAGCTTGGTTTAATTTAGATTGTGTTATTACCAAATAATTAATAGGTTTAAGTTTTATGTTTTAATTATACTAGTAATTAATTAAAAATTATGAAAAAATATAATTGTTACATGGAATTTTTAAATTTATGATATTCGCTGATAATATATTTATGAACCTTAATAAGTTAACGTACGTAGTGGTAGATAGTTTATTATCGTAAGTTTAAGTAATATTTGTTAAAAATTTCATGAGTAATATTAACATTTTTGTATATTTAATACTTGGCTATTTTAAACTAAATAATTTTCTATATATATTTTAAATACTTTCAACCTTAATTACAGGATTCAAACATTGTTTGCAAACCAATACCACCGCATGAAATCACTAACAAATGTAATGAACAGTTATGTCTGTTTGACATACGGGACGATCCGTGCGAACTGAGGGATATCCTACCGGAAACTGACCCCCACTTTATACGATTCCTATGGAATAAGTTGCTCGCTTATAATGCTACGTCGGTGCCACCGCTTACCCTGGTACCGAAAGACCCAAATAGTGATCCCAGACTTTATAACAATACCCTAACTAATTGGTTGGACTTAATTAATAATGATAATAGTAATAGTATTTCACATAAAAGTGAATTGTAGATTATATTCACCATGCTAAATAATTGAAATAATTTAGGATTATTAAAAGTAGACATTATGTAACTCATTGATATAATTAATTTCTTGTTTTATTATATTCATATTGTATCTCAAATGTAATATTTATATTTTAAAATTGTATTTTCAAAAATAAAATAATTTTAAACAAATTAAAATAATTTAATATTTAAAAAATTGTATTACATTTTCTATATACAATGACAAATAGAGTACTATCTTTATACTGATATGGTGCCAGGACAAATAGGCGATTTATAAGATGTAATAAAAATTTATGAAAGATATTTATATTAAATTAATATTAAGATAAATTATAATTTTTGGGATTTAAATGACGAGACCTTTATTATCAATATAATTAATGAAAACATCTAAGAAACTGTTATTTTTATCTAAATTACTTTTACAAGAATTTTAAGTTAGTTTACTATCATGAATAATTTTCCTAAACTAAACATTTAAAACAAATAATTTAGTTATTTAAATTCTATGAATTCGCCTATCTAACATAAATATGATATGCTATATATTTATTGATAACAGAATTACACCAAAAAATATGTTGATAATACTACATCAAAGCAATAATATGTTATATTCAACAAAAATTAAGCTATTCGCATTTGAATTATAGTAGCTTATAAAGTATTTAAAGTTAATATACAATTTTATCATACAGTAAATTCATATAATAATGATTAGGCAACTCAGGGCCCTTTTCATACCCATGAACGGTGTCGGACATGTATACGCTTGCGTAGGCGTAGCGGAGGTACTCATCCAAGCGGGATATACCGTCTCATTCGCCGTCAACGAGCAATGGAGGGGTCGGCTCACAAAGTACGGCATCGGAGAAATAATTATGGCCGACCCTAACACTGACCCCAATAAAGACCCTGCTACACCTAGATTGTGTTTACACCTATTATTAATTGTTACTTTTTAATGAAAATGACTGCAATTATTTTATAAATATTATAAATTCATAATTCATAATTAAACAATCTGGTAATACTTCTCTATATAATAATCATTGTTTTTCTAAAACTTTCAATAAAAATAAAATGATTTCACTATATTATTTAAGATTTTGTTTGCTACACAATTGGATTATGGATGTTTATATCGTATAAATTATATGAAATCACTATTACTGTTATTTTTAAAATTTGTTATTTAAATTGTACAATCCAAAAATATTGAAATAAATAATTCATTCTAAATAGGATTGCCATTTATTGGATCTGGAAGTGAATGGAAACTATTCAGAGATATCACTAATGAATCAAAAAGTGCTAAAATCCATGAATACAATGAATATCTCATTAGTAAAGGCTGTCAACCGTTAAATGAGAAATCGTTTTGGTTTATGAATGAATCGAAATATCTGAATATCTATGACTACCCATTAGAGTTGGATTACCTGGATGTC